GTTTCAGAATGGTGCCTTACATCAGGTCGTTGTAGATGAGCTGAGATCGGATTGTGCTCCATTAACGCCTTTTGTGCATAAGTTTCCTTCATTTGCGCCCGAGGTTCAAGTTATCAATGTTGAAGGCCAGGTACGCAAACATACTCTCCGCGAGGCCGCATCAGCTAGCTGACATAGCCAGACATTAGCATTTGGATTGACAAAGAGTGGAGTGCTATACGCCAATGAGCGCATACTGGTCCGCAACTGCACTTCTTTCGTGGTTACTACAGCGCATCTCATTTTCACAACGACGCAACATCTACTCAAGTTCGTGCATCTCGCTAGTGCAGATGGTAAGTCCGCCTCACGATATGAGAACTGGGAGCATGTTCTGACATTCACCAGAGCTCGAAGTACCCGCAGACGAGCCACAAAAGGATGAGAGATGCAGGAGCATCGAAAGAGGAGCAAAGATCGTTACTGTGATGCCTACGACATACTCAGTCGTGTTACAGATGCCAAGAGGTAATCTTGAGACGATCTATCCGCGAGCGCTTGTGCTTGCTGCTATCCGTCGCAACATCGAGGCAGAGCGTTACGATGAAGCCTTCTTTGCCTGTCGTAATCAGCGTGTCGATCTGAACATACTTCATGACCACGATCCGGAGCGGTTCATGGCGAGCCTGGAAAAGATTGTTTCACAGATCAAGAAGATCGAACATATTGACTTGCTTCTGGCACAGCTCCGGTAAGCGATTAGACATACATCTGAGAAGATGGTTGCTAACTGTTCAAGTAACGAGGACGTCTCGGAGACCATGTATAAGGAAACATTGAAGACGAAAGATCTGGCTACGAAGCCAAAGCTCTCCCAAGACCAAGTCGAGAACAAAGTAAACCGGATATGCGACGCTTTCCTGGCCGTATTAGAGAAGTCTCAATACAAGGACGCACACCTGCAAAACATCATCACAGCCCATGTCTCCAAGACACCACCAGCTCTGGAAACAGGTCTTGCTATGATAGGTCGCCTACAAGGTGAGTCTTATACATTTGCGTTCTCCGCAGTTCTAACATATCATAGCATCTAGCGATCCCCTCACTGATAAGGCCGCCGAACACATATGCTTCCTTGCAGACGTCAACCAACTATACGACACATCTTTGGGACTGTACAACCTTGACCTCGCCCTGCTAATCGCTCAACAGTCACAAAAGGTATGCTGATCGAATGCATGGGTCGCATTAGTAGCTGACCGTCAATAGGATCCGCGAGAGTATCTGCCACACCTGCAGTCTCTGCAAGATCTGCCCGAAACTCGTCGCAAGTTCAAGATCGACGACCAGCTCGGACGAAAAGCGAAAGCTCTCACGCATCTCAAGGATCTTCAAGCCTACGATGAGGTACAAGACTATGTGCAAAAGCATGATCTCTACCCTGAAGCCTTGAGCATGTACCAATACGACAGCACCCGGCTGAAGGAGATCATGAGGTTGTACGCAGACTTCTTGAGTACTAACAACAAGAACAAAGAAGCTGCATTGGCGTACGAATACCTCAACGATCATGCCTCCGCTTGGCCGTGCTACCGTTCAGCCAACCTCTGGCGTGAGGCTTTGTCGTCTGCTATTCTCGCCGAAGTAAGCGCGGATGAACTCTCAAGCATTGCGACAGATCTTGCAGAAGGTCTCACAGAATCCAAAGACTACCTGTCAGCTTCATCAATAACACTCGACTACCTCTCCGACCTTGCGTCCGCGGCACGTCTCTTATGCCGAGGCTGCCACTTCGCCGAAGCAATTCGCATCGTCACACTCCGCCGCGAGCCCTCTCTCATCACCGAAATCATCGACCCCGGCCTTGTTGAGCGCAGCGCAGACATGACGGAATTCCTCGCCGACATGAAGGGCCAACTGCAAGCACAAGTACCTCGACTCAAGGAACTCAGGGCCAAGAAAGCAGAGGATCCGCTGGCATTCTACGAGGGTATGATCGACGGTCCTGCCGATGCCAATATCCCCGACAATATTTCTCTGGCGCCCACAGATACAACAAGTGGAGGCACGTTCATGACCAGGTACACAAACCAGACTGGCACGGTGAACACAACAACTACGCGCAAGACAAGCAAGAACAAGCGCAGAGAAGAGAGGAAGCGTGCGCGCGGTAAGAAGGGCACAGTATACGAAGAAGAGTATCTCACCAACTCCATCGAACGCCTCATCGAGCGCATCAACAGCATGCAAGAAGAGATTCAACGTCTTGTTGAGGGTCTGGTTAGGCGGGGTATGAGAGAGCGTGCTGACGCCGTGTCCAACGCTGTTAACGAGGTGATTGAACGGTGTCAAGATGCTATCAAGGAAATGTATCCACCTGCTGCTGCTGGAAGCCCTGAGGTTGCCAACGGGGCACCGATTGGGGTTGAGGGCGAGGCGATGAAGCCTACGGGTGGGGATGCGACGCTTTGGGATAGCTTGCAGGAGGTTGGGAAGAAGAGGGAGGCGCCTGTGGTGAAGATGTTTGAGAGGCTTAGCCTTTTGGGATAGTCGTTGATATCTCGAAGTAGCCAGGTGTAGGACACTTGAGTTCAAAACACTAGAGTTTCCAATAGCTGCACGTAGATATGCTGATGCTCCTGTGTTGCACGGTCAGGTGTCCTTTCCCCTGATAATGAATTCAGGGCGGATGGATGACGTAACTAGCGTCTTGTCACATCTCCGCGTTGTCGCGTCATCTCTCCTTGAATGCTCAGTCTTGCAAGACACGCGTCAACACCACGCGATTCAAAGCATTGCTTCGCCTTATCCTGCCCGAGCGCACTCATGCTAGTCAAATGTGCAGCTGAAAATTTCGCTTTTGTTCATTTATGCTATACTGCCGTTGGCAACCCCGTAATTGATCTGCCATAATACGATATCCCGTATCCCTGCCAAACGCGCCGACGCACTACCAGACATGACCGACGACTTTTCCTGCGGCTTCAGTGCTCCGTCCATTGTCCTTGATTACACACCATGAGCGCCCGCCCTCTCTGAAGCCTCCCGACGCCTTCAATGCTCACCTTGTGCAGTCCCATTGGCGTTTCGCCCAAGCTCAACTACCCTACTCTACCTTACCACATATTCCGACAGTCAGCCCTCAATCTGACAAACCTCGACACCCTGCTGCGCGCAAACGACTTGAAAATCGAACAGCGCTTTCGCACCGCCCTCGTCCTCCTCCGCAATCTCAGTCTTCACGAAGATCTTCCACTGTTCGCGGCCAGAGTGTTTGCCGATCGTAGCCACCAGTCGCTGCAGGCTGCGTACTATACCTTTCGCGAGCTTGTCATGGTCTGGCTCGTGGGTGTCGGAATGGAAGAACAACCAGTCGAGATACTCTCCATACCGTGAATTTAGCTGGGACTTCTCGTTGAAAGGGAGCATTTGCTGGAAGAAGCTGCCGAGGTTCAGATGCACAGATTTTGAAGCGACCTGGTCCTTGTCTTGCTCCTTGCACAGCAGGGTTACGATGCATACTAGACAGTCGATAAAGGCGTACGGATTGCCGTATTGCAGCAGGTCTTCCGAGAGATCGATCTTGGTGGTACGGAATTGGTTGGCTGTCTTCCAGATTGCGCTCTTGCATGTAGTGGGCTTCCTGTAGCCGATGACCTTGCGAAGAGTACGCGGCCGAGGGAGGGTGGTGTAGTACTTGCTTATACTGCCCTCGGTATTGAGGAGGAAAGGGGTTTTGTCGAAGACGACCCACATCGCCTCCGTTCTGATCGCTCTGGAGATCTGGAGGATGTTAAATCGACCTGCTCCAGATTTAACATTGGCGCCATGCTTGGGACATAGCTCGAGCATCCGCTCGCTTGTTCCAGGGTGGCAGCACTCCTTGACTACTACAGGCTCGCCGATATCGAACGCGAGGCTGTATATGTCTTGTCGTAACTCCATGGGGATCATATCGAGGGCTCCGAAGCCACCTTGCTCCTGTTCATCTGATGCGCTCGAAATGGCTTGGCACTTCTTGGGAGAAGCATAGGCGTTGTACTCAGGGATCGGGCTTGGAGATCTTGATAGTGTGGTCAGCTCCGAGATGTCCGTCAGTGCTGGCGATGTAGCTCGATGTCTATCGAACAGTCAGTTTCCATGCTTTTGGTCATGTTTTCCCTGGTGCCTGCAAAAGAGGTTCGCGGCAATGAGCTTGTGGTAGGGAAAGAGCAAATAGGCAGCAGCAAGTAAAAGAGCAATGGGAAGACATGTGATTTAGGGTCGGTGTTCTGGTAATCTGCCTTCACCGCGATAGGAGAACGTTGCTTCTTCACGTGATCGAAAGCTGGTCACAAGATCGCGGTTCACCCAGGATTTTTATGCTCGTGGTAATGCTTGAGTCCACGGGCTCAATGCGATCGTCTACCAAGATGGTAACCGTGGCCAGAAGGACACGATGTAAGTAGGTATTTTCCCTGTTATTGTCATCCTGTCATATCTCAGCAGCCTTTTCCAAGTTATACTCGCCGCTCTTTGCGAGATCTTCTTCTCAGACGGAGTAACCTTGTTTGGCTGCTCATTTTCCACGTTATCTTCTCGACGTCATCAACGCGTCCCCGTCCGTTTGCCAGGCAACCATCTAGTGACACCGCGCTAGTCGCAAACGCTCTTGTTGTTTTGATCTCCAGTGCTGTGTCTTCATTGTTTTCGATCAGTCACACCCGCTACGCGACCAGTAAGTACTACTTTCCCTATCAAGTTAATGGGCCGAGCGTTCTTTCATTTGCGATACTTTTCAGTCGAGTGTTCAGATTTTGGTTTGTGACAGCGAACGCCAGAACTTGTTCTGTAGCCTAGTGGGAGTCGATGTTTACTAATTTATTCTATGCTAACGTAGGACAAACCTCTTACGATCAGGCTATGGTTTACTCAAATGCAATTTATAGAAACCGGCCTCTTCGTAATGCGCGCACACAAGCTGACACTCATCAAGATCGACGATCAAGAAGGCGGAGCTCTCCGATGACACCACTTCAGTCATGCATGCTCAAACACAGAGTCAGCTGTTCCAGGTGCCTGGAGAAATCCGCAACAGGATCTACTACTACGCACTTGACATGTGCTTCATACACTCTTCACGCCGATCGGCACAAAGCACCTCCGCGCCGGGCTACATCAATCTACAAGGACATCTGGAGCAACACCAATCATCTACGAACCTCTTGCTCGCCTGCAAGGCAATATGCCGAGAGGCTAAATCTCTATTCGCTGAACTCACCCCCGCGGAAGTCGATCTCCAAGTAACAAAGCCACTCAGCCGAACTGCAAAACGCACACTAAACTCGTTCATGCGGGTCGTCATTCAGTACCCAGTCGAGGACGAGAGAAGGAAGCGAGAAGGCAGAAGCTCGGTGAAGGTGAGCACCAGACAGTTAGGTTGGGAGCTGTTCAAAGCTCTCAAGCTATACACACGCGCATCGCCAAACCTTTGTCAAACCCGAGATATGCGTCGAGAGGCTACAGTCCATTACGGATTGCGCTGGCCAAGTCGCTTCCAATTCGCTGGGGCCATCAAGAGAATGGCGAAGGACAAGTATACGTACTGGGCGGTCGAAATCCAGTACGAGTACTACGACACTGGAGATCTTGCAGAACTTCAACAACTGCGCTACATTGCTTGGGCGAGAGATGAGGTGGAGAAATTGGGCAAGCGGATTCGATTCTTCGTCACGATTTTCCATGGTGGCCCTGCGAGGAGAACTTTCTCTCTGCTAGAGGCTGTTCTTGGCCATCGAGGCATCGAGAAGGGTGAGATGTTGGATTCTGTGTTGGTGGGTGAGAATTGGTGGGCTGTGGAGTTGAGTCTCTGAGTTTGAGACTGGGGGATACGTAGTCAGAACACCTTGACTAGGTTGTATATGTAATGAAGATGTATGCACCAAGTGCTCGGTTTGAATATGTGATATGAAAGAGGTGAAGTACGTGTATGCGGCAAACGCGTTGCTTAGGTATCCCTGGGCCGTCGAACCATGATTGTAGTCGCTACGGGTACTTGACAAGTTCTGTTGACGTGATGGTAGTGTTACATATTCACCTAATCACACTAAGCTAGCCGCAGGACGAGAAATCATCTCGTGAAAGATTGGAATTAGTCTATGCTCCTTTTGGCGCGTTTGAAGAAGACGACTGAGCAAGATCCTTATTGGGAAAGGGTAGTGAAGGAGCTGATAGGGGTCAGTGCATAGTAAAGTCACAAGATGGGCCTACGGCACAGCAGGTCATATGGCCTTGCAATTGGCTTATATTAGGTATTATTCATGGATCAATACCGGTATAAACTCATCTGTAAAGGATAAAAAGTCCCTGTCAAAGTCGTCAGGTGGACGTTAGCCCCTGGGTCAATCACGAGATCCTCCCTCGCCCCACCCCTTTGGTAGACCGTCTCCCCTGTATTATATATTCCTCCTTTAATACCGTTGACTTCTTCTTATCTGCGTATCCTTCCTGTCATATCTTTGTACTGTATAGATTATACTACTATATCCTAGACTTCGTCTCCCGTATACCTCACCTCAACCGATTGAACGGCTAGAAGCGATGAAGCTCCTCTACTCTAGCTTATTTGCAGCGTTCGCGTTGGCTACTGGTGCTCTAGGTCTTCCAAGTACATCAAATTCGGCTTCCTCTTCGCCTCAAGTCCAAGTCAACTTGGAAATGGCGGGCAACACCAATGTCAAGATATCGATCAAGAACACCGGATCCGAGCCTTTGCGCCTAGTCAAAGTTGATGGTCTTCTAAGCGACTTGGCCGTCAACAAGGTCACCGTCGTGAAAGATAGTAGGTCGCTTCCGATGCACGGAGGAGCAGATACTAATGCATTCTACAGGCAACAAGCTCCCTTTCTACGGTATCCACGTTGACATCGACGTCACTAGGCTGGAGGCCTCTTCATTCCAGACTTTGCCATCCTCAGAGACAGTCGACGTGCACTTCGATATCGCCCATGTTTACGATCTTGGCGCTGGCGGTATGATCGATTTGGTGTCGCAAGGCACCTTCCTCTATGCGACCTCTGGATCATCGGCCTTAGAGACCATCTCCTTCGTCTCGAACACTCTTACCGTCAACATCGATGGATCTGAAGCAGCCGCGACCCGTCAGACTTGGCTTTCGAGCGTTTGGAATGCCGAATTCAACCTCCAAGGCGGTTGCACGTACGAACAGTACGACATTCTAGACCAATGTCGCAGTCTGTGCTCAGATCGCGCCTATTCCGCCTGGCAGAACTCGCTTTCCGACGCTGGCAATCACACGAGGATCATGGAGTTCTTCAAGGACGACACTGAGCAGATTCGCAAGAAGCTCAACGACGGCTTTCTCGCCATGGGATCTGAATGTCGGAACATGAACGAGGGTCGTGTCAAGATCTTTTGCAACAACCTCGACGGCTGTGAACCGGGTGTATTGGGAATGACTGTGTGGGCTGGCGAGGAACTTCACGTCAGGTTCTGCCCGTTTTGGTTCGATGCGTGGTACCAGATTGATCATCCAGAATGTCATGAAGGCGACAAGACCAAGACGATGATGCATGAGCTCTCTCATGCACTGTTCAGCGTCGGAGATGTCAAATACGGATACGATAACTTTATCACGCTCAACTCCACGGATAACCTCAACAACGCGGACACTTATGCATTCTTTGCCAAAGGTAAGCTCTCTCACAAAAGCTCTCTCTAGAAATATTGAACGGACTAATGACCTGATCTACAGCTTCGCACAACAATTGTTGAGTTTGGTCGATCTTCACATTCGCGGCTTGTTGGAAAAAGAATAGAATGTGATGATGAAGATGGGGTCACGGGAAGTCCAGTCGTATGAGTGTTTACTAGTGATATCCGCACGGCGGTGCGAGAATTGGTATAATAGGGTCTCTACGTAGCCTAAACCCATGACAAGGATCTTAGACCTTAATCTTACCTAGCGCCTCGACGTCAGTGAATGCATTGACCAGGTCAAAGTACACCCCGCTTTCTGTTTTGATCACTCACCATTGCGGAGACTCTGAATATTACGAGCTGCAGATATCTCGTGCTCGCGGATCTGTACCTCGCCACACACAAGATCGGCGAGTCAACAAGTCTTTCGGTACAAGCCTCGCCATCGCTGCAACTACAGCTTTTCGCAACCGGAGGTATCCCGCCATGGAGCTGCTCGATCTTCCAACCGAAATCTTCGAATGCGTCATAGCGCACTACGTCAATGGGGAGGGCATCCGACGAGCCTGGCTTCGTCGCAGTGTGTGCAGTAATCGATTATGTCACCACTCATGACGGACAGCATTACTGACGACTACAGCAACCTTCTGCGACCATATCAAGATACAGGTGTTTGCCAAGCAGCCTGCCTCAGCCTATTGGAACCTGAGTCAGCGCGACTCGGCGTTTCTGCGAAACATACTCAGACCCTTCCTCGAGCATCGAGTGGTCGCGCTGTACGGCGCCAATCACGTTCTCCCCACGCATATCAACAAGATTGTCGATGTTCTCATGAACGTCAGCGGTGACACCTCGCCTGAAAAGCGCTCTATTTGGGTCCGCGGTGTAATCGGCGCTCTGATCAAAACCGCGAATATCTGCAAGCTCGCTTATAAGCCGAGTGATAAGAGCAAGAGCAGGGTAATTTCGTCATCGGGGCGTCAAGAGGCTCTGAGTGTCGCGGTCATCATGGGAAAGAGGGATACTGTCTGCGCACTTACTACCGAGCAGGGTGCCATGTGGACAAAGTGCTCGACAGGATCTGAGCTGGGTTGTGCGCTGGAGTTGGCCGTGCAAAACGATGACCTCGATCTTGTTGAGGTCCTACTATCTCATACTCAGCGATCAACTGTGAGCCAGATCATGAAAGTACAAACCATGACGGTCGTAAGCGGCATTATGCATGCTATCCGGAGCAATGAGCCCATCGCGCTGGTTTTGCTGGAATGGTACATCTCAAATGCCAAGCACAAGGAGATACGCTACCTCATGGACTGGTTCGAAGAAGCCTGCGCATCTGAATTGATGAGCTTCCTAGGTAGGCTGATCGCACTGTCCACGCCAACTATGCGAAAAGAATTCAGGAAGAGGTTCCTCACGATAGCCGAACCGTGTTCCAACGCATATAGCAGGCGCCATCGTTTCCATCCTCAGCTCTTCCGTGTTCTCGTATCCTTCTTGTTGGATGCCGGTCTGTTTGACCGCAGCAGCATGAACTCATCCGAATGGACAGAGCGCGCTCAATTCCACGGTCTGATCAACACTGCGGTACGGAGAGGAGACTTGAATGCACTTGAGCGCGTCATGGCGGCCAGCGCAAATTCTGATCGCCTACGCCCCGATGCCAAGGGTCTGTCAACTTCTCTGCGCCACGCTACTCAACAATGCCGTTTCGATATCTGCAAGTTGTTGATAGATCACGGCGCGAATCCTGATCTCAATCTTGGTACTCAACACCCGAAATAGATCCGTCTTTCGAAATTCGGTAAGTTTCGCTTTTCTTCGCTCAGAGCAGTTCATTCTCAGGAGATGGCGTACCTGAATCGATTATTTCGTATCACCTTGACGTTCCATGCTTACCAGCGGTAATACAGCGGAAGAGACTCATACATTCATGTGGTGGATGCGGGTAAAATGGCCGTGGAGAAGTCGGCTGCGGGTAGACGAAGGAACAATGGACATGTGCCCAGGTGTGGCCAGATTCGCAGGGTCCGGGAACGAGGCCTTTGCCTACTACGTGGTAACCTGGGTAGATGACGGAAAAGAATCGAAATGATTGATGAGCCATCCGAGTTCCTGCACGCTTCTAGTTGAATGCGCTGATGATGGTGTTGAGCGCGCTGAGGAGTGGGGTTTGTCGGAGGGAAAGCCCGCTGTGGAGCCGACGCCTAATCTGGGCTTCCCTGCCACCCTGCGTCAGCTGCTCCTTAGTCACTCTGACTGCAACATCACTTCAGGAACGCAACCTGGGCAGGCTGCGGTTCAAAACACAACGTATGGGGAGGAAACTAGCAGAGCACAGAAGTCAAATCGGCAAGTATCCTTGTTCAATAATCATCTATCCAATATCGGGTACACTGTGTCTCTGGTATATCGCCCTTCACTTGCCCGCCTTCACGGATCCCAATCACAACTTCTTCGACGCTGTTGAACCAACCAAATTGGTTCGATCAGCAGCCACCGTCATTAGGGTCAGACCTACAATCCCACGGCGTTAGCTCTCGTCCTCATCGCACAGTTCGCGACATGTGTACAGCCACTTACTTGAAAAACCAGTCAGCGACCGTCTGAGTGCCGCCCAATGGACAGTTGTTGATGTTTTCTTTAAGTCGCCTTTTGCAGTCTTCTACAGCCAAGGTGTGTCCTCCGCTGCTACCCTTCCAGCCCACCTCGTAGTTCATCTTGATGCCATTGCACCTGGCCGGGGCGCACGCTGTCTTCGTTTGGCGATAATTGAAATATCCCGCGAGGGTCAATGATTTACACAGGTCGTCAGCAGCATCAAGGAACGAATTCTTGTTGCAGTCGTTGAGGTAGGGCTTGCCGCTGCCATAGCAGCCGGCCATGGTGCTGGTGGCCGAAGCCAAAGCGATGAGAGGAATAGAGAGCTTCATCGTGAAGAGTTTGATGAGAAGAGAGGCAGTTTCGAGTGTGGTGGTGTTGTTGATGTTGACTTGATGAGAATAAAGAGAGATGAAACCAGGAAGAAAGGCTGCTGGCTTTATACGTCATGCGACTGACTGCGACTGGAACGTGCTGTTTTTACCTGTCTTTCACTCGGGTTGCGCGCACATCGACCGCCGCAAGAGCAAGGCCGGAATCCTGCCTGGTCGTAATCCTACACGGGAAGATGTAGATTGCGGGAAGTATGAGCCAATCCACGTACGGGCAACTCTTGTGAAGGATTGCGCTAATCGTGGACGTACGAGAGAACTGGGACTGTAGGATTGGAAAAAGACTTGTCCTCCGATGAATGTTTCTAAGCCAAGTATCGGGCGTAAGATAGTTCAATACACCAAGGTGTAGCTGTGGGCCAAATTACGCCCTGGTGGAGTAACCTCCACCCAGAATCCTTTACAGTCCGCTATATCCGACTGTTAAATGTGTAAACACGAGAGACCTGCTTAATGCGGGAAGAACCGACGCTACGAGAGGCTGAAGAGCAAGGGTGTGAATAGACGAGCCGGGTCTTACCAGTATAGGCTATATCTCCACGAAGCGGACCTGCAGATTTTTGCACAAACCTGATGGCCAGGTAGCATTCTACCAATTGAATTCTGGACCCTGGAGGTTACATTAGCGCAATTTCTGCCTGAATGGGAGGACATTGAGTGTCGCGTAGCTGTCAACACCGTTCAGACTTACGCCGATTTACCGGTCCCGCGGCTTGAACACCTCCACCAAGTTTGATATCTGTAATGCTCGGCGCATCGGTTTAGTGGAGCACATGGGCTATGCACATGAATATCGTTATGAAGAGATGTCTTCATATCAGTAATCGCAAAGCGATTCTCAGCGCAGGACGCCTGAAGCTACGATCATGCGCTTTTTGCATCTAGTCGGAGTCGAGAAATCCGCTCAGAACTTCCAAGCCGCTCATAGCGCGACATTCGACTTGGGGATAGCGCGTGAGCTCCTGTGGGCTTGGTCTAACACATTGACATTGATCTTCTCTGAGTCGCTTTGTGCCTGCATCTCAGGGGCCATTGAGACTTTGCTTTTACTCCTGGTATCCTCGTGGTGGTCTTCCAAAAGGGTTGGGTGCCTCTGAATGGATTATTGGGATGGTTGCCTGGTCCTTCGTGAACAAATCACGGCGTCGGTAAGAAGAAACTCTTCATCGGTAGTTGATGGGTGACCAAGTCTGCAACATCTTAACCTAGATGAAATGCGGCGACCACATCCTCCTCTTATTGTGCTCTTTTCCATCTCCTGACATCCTTATGGGTAGGTAAAGCAGGCCTGAAGGAGCGACAGAGGACCACCCTCACTTCGACGTCGGAACACAGATGCTCTGCCCTATCCTGAGATTCCCACAATCCACACCCTGATTCCCTCTTAAGCCCAGCAAACCATCAACACTCAACCCATTCGCCTCCGCAATCGCCCAACACGTATCCCCCTTCTCAACCCGCAACTGGCGCTCCCCATCCCCACAGCTAGCAACAACCGTATCAGGCCCATCACTCCTATTCACAAGCTTAAAAACCAGGAACAAAAACACCAGCACCAGCAGCGCAAACGGCAACATCATACGCACAGCGCTCCTATTGCCTTCTTCTATCATCTCATCCTGCTCGCGTCGTTGTTCGTCGGACGGGGGCTGCGAGTGCTCGCCCGTTGCACGCAGCTCGCCGTATCGGTTTCCGGGCTCGGATTCGTAGATGCGGCCGGATGCGTCGCGGAAGGTGTAGGTTTGGGTGTCGGCGTCGTAGCCTATGCGCTCGAAGCCTGGGGGGAGGCGCTCGGCGTCCTGGGGGTTGTGTTAGTGGTCTGGGCTGGCAAGAGGTGTACAAGTGAGGTTACGCTGTCCATGTCTGTCCAGCGACCCATTTTGAAGAGGGCTGGGTTAGGTAGAGCGAGTTGTGAGGGTAAGTAAGATGCTGATTGCGATGTGCCAGGGAGGTTGGTGGTTCTCCAGATAATTGCGGATGCGCGGCTACGATGTCGCCAATTGCAATAACGCTATAAAGATCTAGGTATCATATGATGCTGTTGCCTTTACAGCCAGTTGCGCAGGAAGCGAAGTTGGACGTTGTACGCTGTGACGCGTGGCGGCGGCGCGGAAGAGACGTGACGACGCGGGATGTGGGGCCTTTCCGTGGCGTCCACGGGTGGAGCTACAGCGTGCATCGGGCTGGCCCAATGGGCGGGCGTGACCGCTACACATATGTCGCAGCCAACAGACGGTAATTCATCTGAGTACAAGCTCACGGGACCGATTACTGCATGATGCTCACCCGAAGCAGTGTTTTTTCTGTAGGTCTAAATGCACCTTTTTGACTAAATAGCAAGAAGCAGCTGCTACGGCGAGTCGCATGCTCATAGGATGACGAACGCGCATACCCACTAGTGTATACCATCAACCTTAACCTTCACTTACATCTTTCTTGCTCATCCCAGATGTCCTGAAGCAGTCTTGCCGTCTTCACACTGTGGTTCGCAGCCATATTCCAAATGCCATTGCGCTCAGAGCTCCTCTTCGGCACCACAGCACCATAAGCCAGCAATAGCACCACCATATCGATATGTCCTCCCTTGAGTGCATACCACAGCACTGGCGTAGATGGTAGGTAACTGTCCTTTTCTTGTGTGATCTGTACACCACTGCGGATGAGCAGCCTGGTAGCCACAAGCCAGCCATTCTCCACCGCCACTGTAAGACCCTGCCATAGTTCGTTAGAGCCGATATAACCCTTTTCATGATTACGAATTGCGCATCTCAGGGTGGGATCGGCTTGAAGCAGATGCTGAATGATGTGCGCGTGGCCGTATCGACAGGCTGAGTGGAAGGGCGTTGGCTCCAGTCGGCGTATGTAATTGATTGCATCTTCAGGATAGTAACTGAATCGTAGTACGCCCATTTCACCATTCCGAACTGCCCAGTCGATCCAGCCCCGCTTTGCTTCCTTGAGCAATCTTCCAGAGTAGCAATACTTCAGGTACCAGGACATGAGTGTAGGAAGTATAGTAGTACGTTGCTCGAACATACATGCGTTGATCGCGTTGTGCAGTTGTTTGCGCTTGTAGAAGCGTTTTTCCATACGCTCATAAATGAAAGAAGCGGAGTAAAGATGCCCATTGACCGCGGCGGCGGTAAGCGGCGTGCCGTACAGCTCGCTACATAGACCTACGTCGTATACCTTGCCAACAAGGAAACGAAGGGCAGGTTCACTATTGACAGCAGCGGCAGCAGCGAGCATCCCCACCGTATCTGCGCGGCCCATATTCTTCCTGACCTTGACCGAGTCATCGAACGGTCCCTGGCAGAGATATGCGAGAACGTCATCTACCGAGAGTGCCGCTGACATGGCGTTACAGAGGGCCAGGCGGTAGCGTTCGCGCTGCGCTTGCGTCTGATGATATGAGAATTCCATGAGGAAATTGACCGTGGCTTCCATGTGATCAAGAATGTACGTCGAGCGGCAGCGGGTGGGGCCCATCTTGGAGAGGACAGTGTACATATTTGGTGCGAGTAGACGCTGCTTGCGGTCGTCACTGAAGCTGCGGTAGAAACTTGCGGAGTATCGACCAAAAATATCGTCGTGTATTGCGACTGCGAAGGCTTTGCAGACATATCGTGCTCGAACTGCCACAGCCCATCCGCGGCCATTGTACAGGTAGTCGTGCAGGTAGTTGTGTATGATAGCAGCGAAAATTTCTGCTGGGAGATCAAGTAAGTTCATGATGGTATCCAAAGGTGAAGAGCTCGCGGTGCAAGGCTTTGCGACTGAGTTGTACTCATCGCTGCGCTGCCAAGCAATTTGCGCGTTTGCAATCCACGGGTATCAAGTCGCGTAGTCATCTGACCCTAAGTGCAGGATTGACGCGCTGTTGCTGCGATCAGCTTTCAACCTCTGATCTTGTACTCGAATAATCTCCAAAAAGATGCCATGTGGTCCAGTATCTCGAGTAGTACCGCCCGAGCGAGTATATATTTCAAGTGAAGAGCCATAGGGTTTTCATGGTAGCGAGAACCACAACCAGATATCAGTACAGAGATGTCCGAGTCAACTGGTTCATATTGAAGAAGTCAATTGCCTACATTGCAAAAACTGCGTCAGTTGGGGCATCATAGAACTGATGGCGATAGCTCCAAGGAATACCTCAAGCTTTTGCTGTTGCGTGCCCAGGTAGTACAAGAACGCTAAGCGTTCGGGGAAAAGGGACGTGACAAACGGTCTGCGTTGGCGAGGCCATCAGGCTCGGCATGATCCCTGCACCGTGAGGCGTCGTGTGCAGTCTAGATTGGGAGCCTGCACGTTCTGATGGCAGAGTGGATGTCAGGAGGCGCGGCGCTGTGTGATTGATGTCAACGATCAGCGGCTTCAGTATTGATGATGATGACCGTGCGGGGAAAAGGCGACGTTGGCGGCTTCCTAGTCGTCGCCTCGCGCTTTCCAATTCCCAGAACGTGTCAGGGATGCTACGATAACGCGTGGTAGGCGCACCTTCCCATCTAAGTTTCCTCAATTTCATGTCACGACAGAGAGACCCTATGCAGGACGCGTTTGATGATTGCATCTTTCAGCCACCTTCTAGACTCGTCGCGCGCAAACAAGAACCTGAGCAAGCCATAGCGCGCCACTGAGGCTGTGCGCGCCGTCCACGTGTAGCAGCCAATCTGGCTGATCGACGTCATTCGCTCGACTTCCGGTATCCACCTGCATACTAAGCACGTACCAAGCCGGGTCAAGCTTGCCGAGCATTGATAAGGAAGGCGGTGGCCGCGCCTCACTTACTTGGCCACACTTCTACCACCGCCCCAAGTACATCTTTGTACTCAACCACCCCCAAACTCTACAACACCAAAACCGATGGGAGAACCCGACGACCCCTCTATACGCAGCTTCAAGTCTAAGGCAGCATCTGCACTTGGCTTGGGACGCAAGAAAGACACGCAGACCGACGTCCTTCCGACCCACAACCCCCACTCGACCGCCCATCCTGGCCTAGATGGCAGCAACCCGTCGCGTAGTGCACATGGCACCAGCGACCACAGCGAGAAGCCCGTTGCCAGCGATAATAGCTCCACAGACATCGACAATGGCAGCGTCAATACCGCGCCCGATGGAACGACGCCTCCCGCCATAGGATCCGAGAAGCGTCCATTCTACTCGCTCGTGCGTGTCAAGAACGGCAGCCTCCGATTCATATCCCACACCAAGAATGCCATCACACACAGCTGGATCAACCTCCTGCTCGTCTTCGTGCCTCTTGGTATTGTAGTCAAGCTTGTGCACCTGAAGCCCGAAATTGTTTTCTCCATGAACGCCATCGCCATCATTCCGCTGGCTGGCCTGCTCGCGCACGCGACCGAAGTTGTCGCTGCCCGGGTTGGAGATGCGCTCGGTGCACTGCTTAACGTATCCTTTGGAAACGCTGTCGAGTTGATTCTCTTCATCATCCTGCTCGCCTCTGACCAGATCGAGGTCGTGCAAGCGTCCCTACTTGGATCCATTCTTGCCAACCTGCTTCTCATTTTGGGCATGGCATTCTTACTCGGTGGTTTGAAGTACCAGGAGCAGGTCTACAACAATACCGTCACTCAGATGAGCGGTGTTATGCTGGCCCTCGCCGTAATGAGTCTTCTGCTACCCACTGCCTTCCACGCTGCTTTCGAGAACAACGCCATCGCCGACCACGAGACATTGTCTGTCAGTCGCGGAACCAGTGTCATCCTCCTACTAGTGTACGGCCTGTACCTCGTTTTCCAGCTCAAGAGTCATCGTTATCTCTACGCTAGCACTCCCCAACATATCATTGACGAAGAGTCACATCCCGGTGTCCTTGCCGGTGCTTTCGACTCATCCAGCTCCGACTCTTCATCCAGCTCCAGCAGTAGCGACAGCGACAGCTCCTCCAAGAACTCTGATGGCACTATGAAGAAGAAGGCCAAGCGCATGGTGAAGAGGCTTCGCCGCAAGTCCAGCGCTAGCTCCAAAGACGCAGATGCGCTCTCGGCCCTCAATTCGCCGGAGGGTGAGCTACACCAGAGTCCTTTCGATTCGGAGAGAACCAACAGCGTCGCCACTGCCAACAATGTCGCTCCTATCACTTCTCGCCGACACTCATTCGACGTCATGAGTGGTGACGAGGCCGATAACGATCAATACGTTCCAGTCGTTCGTGACTTCGAAGCCGCTTCGCAAACTTCGCGCTCCGTGACGAAGAAGGAAAAACGTAGGCACAAGAAGAGCAAGAAGGACCGCCGTGATCGCAACAAGGTCGACACCATTCCCGAAAAGGAGGTCGTGCCGAATGAGCCCACGCCCAAGGTTACCTTCGCCGAGGAAGTACAGAACGACAGTGCCACTACTATGAATTCGAATCCTCGCAGATACAACCGGCCTGCTCTTCCTTCGCTACTATCCAACAATGTCTTCTCGAACCCTCAGAACCTCGCTCCACTCGGGGGTCCGGCACCCAATATTCGTATGGCAGCGCCTCGCGACAACACAGCTTTGCGTGCACCCCTTCGTCGATCCAAGTCCCTCCCGGATCAAATTGGCCGCGCCGACTCCACCGGCAACGCAGTCAAACATCCTGCTGTCTCTCCACAGGCCGCCATGGCCCTCAACGAGGATGACGAAGACGATGAAGCACCTGACATGTCCATCAAAGCTGCTATCTTCATGCTTCTGATCAGCACTGGTCTCGTTGCTGTCTGCGCTGACTTCATGAGTGAAGCTATTGAGCCCATGGTTGAGAGTTCTGGTATCAGCCAAGCGTTTATCGGTCTTATCATTCTTCCCATCGTTGGCAACGCTGCAGAGCACGTCACTGCAGTCACTGTCGCGATGAAGAACAAAATGGATCTTTCTATCGGTATTGCTGTCGGCTCTTCCATCCAGATCGCTATCTTCATCACACCTGTCATTGTTATCCTCGGTTGGATCATGGGCAAGGAGATGACACTGTACTTCAACATCTTCGAGACTGTCGCACTATTCGTCACAGTCCTGGTGGTGAACTTCTTGGTACTGGATGGTCGCAGTAATTATCTCGAGGGTAGTTTACTGATCGCCGCCTATATCATTATTGCGCTGGCCAGTTTCTTCTACCCTGACGGCTGTGAGGCCAGTGCCATTGGTGGCAACGAGGACCGCTGCAACAACGGCGAGGTTGCTCGATTGGCCCAGGGCATGGTCAAAAGGATGATTGGCATGTAGGGCCAACATCGATAGTCAAGAACCTTGAAGCCTGAGTAACATCAGATTTCAGCATGAGTTCTTGGTCTTTGCTGTTGCTTTGCGATCACACGGTTGAGTGGCATGGTGTGATGTCCGCTCCCGTATAGAGACTTTCCAGCGTGTCTCATTTCTTTCTATTACGATAGCATACAGTCCTTACAGACACCTAATAGCTCATCACCTCAGAGGTCCTCAAATTGACACATAATACTGGCTCCTCAAACGGAGCCTGCCTCACATACTTGACTGTGTTCTTTTTTCGCGTGATGGAAACTGCTTGTTCGTGGCACTCGTTGATTTGATGCACTCGTAGCTGATGTGAGGAAAACCAATGATGCCTCTTGCTACTCAAGGGGTCATCTTCCGGCGCCCTGCCAAGAGATTTGGCGTCTGCCTAGCCCGCTCCTTCGACATACGCGGAACACTTCGCGAACTCAGCCACCAAGCTTCGACGCCCTCTGCCCTTTCTGCTGCTGATCCTTCAATATGAATATCGTGCATTCCGTCTATCTAGGATCGAACAAAAGCCCTAACTCATCCTCCCACCACGCCACGTATCGCAACACATCCTGTCTACAAGACTCCTGCTTTCCTGCATGTTGAAGAGTCGATACAGCGCGTTCTTTTCTTTTTTATACATAGCACAACATGGTCAGTCGGGGTGGTCGATCAAAAGGTTGTGCTAATTGTCGTCGCCGGCGTGTGAAATGTGGTATGTCCATTCACCTGGTCAACCTTTGCAGAGATCTGCTGCATGTGCTGACGTGACAAGACGAAAACCGCCCTGAATGTGGACAATGCATCAAGCGTGGACTCAAATGTCAAGGGCCCAAAGACCTTACTTGGATCAATGAGAGTGTCACGTTTGGAAGCAAGCCAGCAAACACAACCCAGAACGTAATTGTGAGGATAGCTACTTCAAACCAGCTATCTCTCGCAGCCTTCGAAGATGCTATCTGCTTAGCATATACGCGAAAGAACTTGCTACGCGGGGGACCTGTTGAGATAGCCTGCAACATGATCGAGAGCCATGCCGCATCCATGAGAGGCGACGATCCTGGTCTTGATTTGTTGCGAAAAGGCATAGTGAGCCTGTCTACCACCTTCTTCGGTAGCCAGCATCGACAGGGCGATATCACGACCAAAGGCTATCAAAAGTATGGTCAGGTGCTGCGGCAGCTCAATTCACATCTTGCTCGTACAGAGCTTCAAACGACGAACGAAACATTACTTACGTCACTTTCTTGTATGCTTCTCGAGATCTTCTTACCTACTGGACCGACGAATTTTCTGAAACACCTGCGAGGTCTCGACGCCATTGCGATGCTACGAGGCCCACCCAAGGAGTCTGAAGGTATCAACGCTATCATCTTTCGGGGCCTGCGCATTCTTTCCATCGTTGGGGCACTTGCGGAATCCAGGCCCTCTATATACGCGACCGAGGAATGGAAGCGAATTCCGTCTGCACATTCCAACGAGTCGGGACTCTTCCA